TCATTGTTGGGCTTTTCCTGTGATAGCTCTGTTAAAAAGTAACCGGGAAATGAATTAATTGGTTGCTGCAGAGAGGTTATAAAATGGTTGATTATTTTCATAGGAGGCGATTAAACGGATGACAGAAAAATTTCCACCACTGTATTTGGAGAAAACGTTCCACTTTCTTATGAAAAAGAAAGAGTGGATTGTTTCTTAAAAAATATAATTTAGCTGTATAATCTTTGGATATCAGTGTCAATTAGAGCAGGCTTTAATAACTCCTATTTTGAGGCAAGTATTGTCTCTAGAAATTTGGATGTTGTACCTTGAATGCCTGCTGTAGCCTCTCTTTATTTGCCAAGAGAGAAGATTAAAAGCAAACATGCATAACTCAAGCATGCTAAATTAGACCCAGTTGTCTGAAGGCATTGGAAGGAAGAAAAAAAAAAAACACATTTAGAGTTGTTTGGAAGGGATACATCACTTTGATGGTGAAGCTCCAGTTTCTTTCTTGAAGATTTTTGACTTTATTTTAAGGGTGATTTTCCCCCCCTACCCCACCGTTGAGCCCTGTTTTGGTATGATTTAGAGTGGCTGAGGCCAGTTCAGGAATCTTTTCCACGGAAATAGCGAAAGATGTTGGTAATAAGTCTATATTTGGATTAAAAGCTTCTGTTCAAAGTAAGTATGAATGATATGAACCAGAATGCAGAGACTGAGAGACAGGGAGGTAGTCCTCAACTTACGACCGCAATTGAGCCCAACATCTATATTGCTAAGGTGAGAAGTTTGTTAAGTGAGTTTTGACCCATTTTACGACTTTTAAATGAATCTGGCATCCCCACTGCCTTTGCTTGTCCGACGGTCACAAAACAGGGATCACATGACCCTGGGACTCTGCAACCGTCGTAAGTGTGAGTCAGTTGCTACGCATCTCAATTTTGATTACTGTTACTGGCTACTGTGGTGATTCAGTTAACATCCGTGGCAAGGCAGGTCGTAAAATGGGGCAACATTCACTTAACAAATGTCTCACTTAACAACATAAATTTTGGGCCCAATTGTGGTCATAGGTTGAGGACCATCTGTAATGTTTTGAGAGAGTGAACGTCGGTACATTTTTACGCATTTTTGGGCTTCTGAGACCTTGCAGGGAATGGATATTGGCCAGGTATTTATTGGGTCTCCTATTACGAGGCATCATCTTTACAAGGAAGCTCAGAAAATAAGTAGAAATCACATAATTTGGATCACGTAACCCGTTAACTTCTGAAAGCCTGCCTAGCCAAACACAAGTGCTTTGTTTACATAACATCCTTGGCCAAAATAAATAAACCACATAACGGTTTAAGATGCCGGTCTGCCCGGCAGATGCTGAACCACAAAGCGCCCCATTCTTATTTCAGCTCAGGTTCATGTGTCGTGCAAGCACAGCCTGTATTAAGGTGGCGAGTTATTAAAATTAACGCTACCGTCATCAGAAGCTGCTATCCCTATTTAAGAGAGCAGGCAGATTTTTGATACGTCACATCGGAGCAATTTGCAATGGATGCCTTACTGACTCTTAGGTCCCTGCTCCTTTTTTTTATTTTATTTTATCAATATCATTTATTACTGAACCTCTATTCTTTTTCTGCCAAGAATTATTGACGATAGGGGGAAAGACGTTGAGATGCTGTGCTCCAGACCTCAGAATGAAAACACAGTGGTGTCAAAACAGGAAATAGGAAGAAAGATATCGGGGAAGAAAGGCTTCATCTAAGGCAGGGGTCCCCAACTTTTTGGGCACCAAGGGACCGGTTCCATGGAGAGAGTGTCTCCACGGACCGGAGGGTGTGTGATTTTGTGTGCTGCCTGCATCCCGCGGATGGGGCTTTGCTTGTTTGTGCGGACCGGTTGCTGGCATGCCACGGCCTGGTCCTGGTCCATGGATCAGGGGTTGGGGACGTGAGTCGGTCGCCAAGCGTCTGAATTTTGATCATGTGACCGTGGAGATGCTGCAAGGGACATGTGAAAAAGGATCATACGTCACTTTTTCCCCAGTGCCGTTGTGACTTCAAACGGTCACTAAAGGAAGATTGTAACTCGAGAACTATCTGTTATAGGGTTCCTGCTTGAGCAGGGGGCTAGACTAGAAGACCTTCAAGATCCCGTCCAACCCTATTATTCTACGTTCAGTGAAAGCTATCTGGTCTAATGGTTTTTAGGCATAGCACTTGCTTTGATCTCTCAAGTGTTTCCCCCCAGTGAGCATTTGAGTGGCAATTCACAGGAGGGCTTTTTTTTTTCCCCTTCTGTCTTCTGTGAGGAGATTTCTGTAAAATCGGCGTACAGGGTCTCAGTTGGCCTAGGCAGCATTAATGCCAGTTGCCCTTAAGGCTAACAGTTTTTCCAGAGACAGGAAAAATAAGAGAAGCAGCACCTAAGCTGATTTATACAGCAGAAGGGGCTGACTTATTACAAGATTTGGACAGCTGTATACTGTGGACAGGTAATAAAGCTGGAAGGGATCTTGGAGGTCATCTAGTCCAACCCCCTGCTCAGGCAGGAAACCCTATACCATTTCAGACAAATGGCTGTCCAGTCTCTTCTTAAAAACCTCCAGTGTTGGAGCATTCACCGCTTCTGGAGGCAGGTTGTTCCACTGGTTAATTGTTCTAACTGTCAGGAAGTTTCTCCTTAGTTCTAGATTGCTTCTCTCCTTGATTGGTTTCCATCTGTTGCTTCTTGTCCTGCCTTCAGGTGCTCTGGAGAATAGCTTGACTCCCTCTTCTTTGGGGCAGCCCCTGAGATATTGGAAGACTGCTATCATGTCCCCCCCTCGTCCTTCTCTTCATTAAACTGGACATACCCAATTCCAGCAACCGTTCCTTGTAGGTTTTAGCCTCCAGTCCCCTAATCATAATAGTATAATAGTGTTGCCTACAGCAGGGCTCCCCAACCCACGGCCTGTTTCAAACTGGGCCGCGCAAGCGATGGGCAAGCACACACAATCTCCTCTAGCACGAGCGACAGGCACACACGCGTGCACGCAAATGGGGCAAAATTCACATAACCACTGCCTTGCTTGGGAACAGAAATGTTGGGCCCCATTGTGACCGTAAGTTGAGGACTACCTGCAACCGCCTCTTTTGTTCCTTTTCACATTGCTGGTTTGGCGTTGGCTCTAATTTTTTGTGTGTGTCGTTGTTGTTGGTCACTACAGATTGGAGGCATTATCATTAGGGATTTTCTGCGGCTTCTCCACGGCTTTAACTGTAGCTTTAAATCTGCCTCTTGTGGAAAGGGTATGATTGAGGGTGGTAGTAAATTAAGCAAATAGCTGCTTTCAGAATTGTGTTTGTGAGTGTGTGTGTGTGTGCAGAAATGCACATCGATTGCTTCATTAGAGAAGAAAGTCGGTAGACGCACCGTAGAATATCACTTGATAAATTACCTTTTGTTTTCATTTAGTTTACTTATAGAAAAAAATTCCACACATTCCTGTCAATAAGGAAAATGCGAGTATCCAAAGCAAGATCTGGCTCTGAATATTTATTGGTTCCTTAAAAGAGCCCCCTCCCCAATTTGCTAAATGATTTTTTTTTTTTGAGATGCGGATCGATTATTCAAGCAATTGATGAAGTAGCTTTTCACTGGTTAAAATTTGTGTGGCTGCATTTCTGTGATATGAATGAAAGGCTAAGCGCTGTGTTTGTAGCTGCTGTTTCTGGTGATTATTATAATTTAAGAAAGTGGCAGAGATCAATATGAAGTGAAACATATTTTTTCCATCTTTTTATTACTTATTTAATCAATGTATTAGCTGCCTCAGCCCTTCAGGAAACTATAAGTGATACTGCATAAAGGAAAGTAGTTGTCAAGATCTTTTTTCTTCTAAAGTTTCTTTTTTTACTTCCTGTTTTTTTGAAGCCAAAGATATTGACTGCCGGTTCATGAGTTCGTGTTTTATGCAGTTAGTAATGCCAGGGGTTTGGACTTGCGTAGAATCTCAGTTTTCAGCGCTAGCAGGTTTAGCTATACTGTTTCTAATTGAACTGAGTTTGCTTGAGATCCTGGCTTAAAATCACTATATTTCAATAGTTGAAATGTTTTTAATAGTTCTTCTCTGCTTCTAAGATCTGCTTCTAAGATTCTAACATTCTGAGATCTGCTTCTAAGATCTAAGATATGTTCTAAGAGGCTAAAACGTATGAGGAACGGTTGCAGGAATTGGGTATGTCTAGTTTAATGAAGAGAAGGTCTAGGGGTGACATGATAGCAGTCTTCCAATATTTGAGGGGCTGCCACAAAGAGGAGGGGGTCAACCTATTTTCCAAAGCTCCAGAAGGCAGGACAAGAAGCAACGGATGGAAACTAATCAAGGAGAGAAGCAACCTTAGAACTAAGGAGGAAATTCCTGACACTGGAATTAGTCACTGGAACGGCTTCCATCCAGAAGTTGTGGGTGCTCCATCATTGGACAGAATGCTATAGGGTCTCCTGTTTGAACAGGGGGTTGGACTAGAAGACTTCCAAGGTCCCTGGAATGCTATAAGGTCTCCTGTTTAAACAGGGGGTTGGACTAGAAGACCTCCAAGGTCCCTTCCAACTCTGTTATTCTGTTTTGTCCTGTTAGGATTTTAAAAGAGCAATATGACAGGGTGTACTTATCGTAGTTTCTGCTTATTCCTTTTGTATTGCAGACATATGGATAATTCTCTTCCCTCTTTTCCAGCGGGACAAAAGTGTAAATACAGTGTGTTCTTTAGTTTTATTTATTCATTTATTTGGTTAATAGCTTCTCCAGTTAAATAGGGCAACTGACCATTAGGTGGAAATATTAAGGGGGAACAATCCTTTCCGTGTTAAAACTGTTTTCATTTGGGTGATGGGGGGTTTTTTTTTGTTTTTTTTTTGTAGTTTAGCAGCTTAAGGTTTTAGAATCGGGGTGGAAATAATCCTGCAGATCAGCTGGTTGTGAAAACTGTGATTTTAATAACATGTTGCTTTTTATTTTATTTTATTTTTTGGGTGTCATGCAGGCGGAACTGACAGGCATCAAGTGGCGTAGGTACAACTTTGAAGGTCATGGAGATTGTGGACCTATTATCTCAGCCCCTGCTCAAGATGACCCAATTCTCCTGAGTTTCATCCGCTGTTTACAGGCCAATCTGTTGTGCGTTTGGCGTCGTGATGTCAAACCGAATTGTAAGGAGCTATGGATATTTTGGTGGGGAGACGAGCCGAACCTGGTAGATGTAATACACCATGAGCTACACAGTAAGTATATATATATATATATATATATATTTTACCTCCTCTAATTCTGCAATAAAAGCCTCTCCTGAATGTAGCTTTCGTCGTTGATACAGGTAGTCCTCAACTCACCGCCGCAATTGAGCCCAGACGTTCTATTGCTAAACAAAACATTTGTGAAATGAGTTTTGCCCCATTTTACGACTTTCCCTGCCACAGTTGTTAACTGAATCACTGCAGTTGTTAAGTGAATCTGATTTCCCCATTGACTTTGCTGCAAAACGGGGATCTCATGACTGCAGCCGTCATAAATATGAGTCAGTGGCCAAGCGTCTGAATTTTGATCAAGTGACCATGGAGACGTTGCAACGGTCGTAAGTGTGAAAATGGCCATAAGTCCCTTTTTCCCAGTGCATAGCTCAGCTTGGAAACCTCTCCCTTTCCCCTCAGTATGGCTGGCTCAGGAATTCTGGGAGTTGAAGTCGAGTCATAAAAGCGCCAAGGTTGCCTACCCCTGGCATAGGCTTTAGTAAGAAATCATTTTGTTTGGACCTTCCCATGTGGAACTGATATATTTTTTTTGTGCCTGACAAGCTGCAGTGATAGTTGCTATCTGCCTTCTTAGGTGGGGAACATCTGGAAAACACATGTCATTGTTGGTTAAACAAAAACAACAACAGAGACCTCATATTAAGGTGTTTTTTTTTTAACTTTTAGGAGACCATATATAAATAAGTCACCTTATGAACAGAAGTGCTTACTCTGTGGGAGTGTGGTCAGCCTGGCCGTGTTTAACGTCAGCTCATTGCCATTCACAAAATCTGTCGTTTGGATCCTTCTGCTGCTTTGAAATATTGTTCCATCCCACAGATTCACCCCTAGGAGGGAGAATGTGGTTGCACACAGGCACCTGTGTGGTCCCCCTGTACGCTTCCCCACCTTAAATAAATGCAGAGAGCTAGTAAGACAGACAGATGCGGAGAAGAGGCATTGTGTAAAGCAGAGCATCAGCCTTCAACATCAGGTTTTATTTCTGAACCTTCCTTCCGCTTTTCTGACAATAAAAGGCTCGATGTAGGTCAGCGTGTGCTTGGCAGGGTGTGTATTGTTCAGATCAAACCTTAGCACTAGAAATGTTCACCATTTAATTCTGTTAATGGGCTGTCTTCTGCTAAGGACCTCCTCAGTTTGCTTCGTTGGGCTGTTGCAGCCAACCTTTCCGAAGGGTAGATCCATCCTTGAAGTACGTTGGGTTGATACTTGATTTTGAAAAACACCAGATGGTGGGAAATGGATGCGCCTTCTGTTCAGCGCCGCAGATTTTGACAGCTACCTGTTTCCTTCCGTTTCTCCGAGTAAGGTACCCTTCTTCCCGTCCCTTCTCCTCGATGTACGACTGCAGTGGAGCCCAACATTTTTGTTGCTAAGCGAGACATTTGTTGAGTGAACCTTTGCCCCATTTTACAACGTTTCTTGCCACAGTTTTTAAGTGGATTACTGCACTTGTTAAGTTAGTGACATGGTTGTTAAACCATTGACTTTGCTTGTTAGAAGGTCATCAAAGGTGATCCACGGGAGCCCAAGATGCTGCAACCATCATAAATATGAGTCAGTGTCATACATACGTACATAACTCCCATTAACTTGCTTTTATGCTCTGCTGATATTGGCAGTGCTGGCCGACGAAAGTTCAGCATTTGTATTAAACAGCTTTTAGTTTGATATTATCCTGATGTTCGAATTTATTTATTTTATCGCATGCATACATACATACATACATACATACATACATACATACATACATACATACGCCAAGCAGAATCAACGGGGAACTCAAATTCACTTAACAACCATGTTACTAACTTTACAGCTGCAGCGATTCCCTTAACAAGGAGGCCAGAAAGGTCGTAAAATGGGGCAAGCCGCCTTGCTTAGCGACAGAAATCTTGGGCTCCGTTGTGGTCGTAAGCTGAGGACCACCGGGAACAAGTTCCTCTTGGTGCTTGGTCCAACGGCGACAAAGGAGTGACTGTCTACTTCTAGTAAGGTCTTGACACGCCACGTCCTTCGCTGCGCCTGGATTGCAGGGGTAGAAGCTTGTTCTGGTTTTTCTTGAACTCCTCTCGGCGACATTCCCGTCTCGTCTTCTTTCTGGCCTTTATAAAATAAATCTCTTCCTGAATACCAGATTGTTTCCTTGGCTAAGATCCTGGGGAATCTCTGAACAGGGTTGATTTCCATGTGCCTCTTGGCCTAGTCGAAGCAGGTAGCAAGCCATTCATTTATCACGAAACGGAAGCGCTACCTCAAGAGTTCCATGGATGTTCATTTTTTTTTATGAGACGCCTGTTTCAAATGGCAGCCTGGGTGCCCTGCCTCTTTGCCCAGCCAGGCTTTAATAATATGTTTCCTTCCTCCTCTTGATGTGATGTCGCCTATTTATTTTCCCAATGCAGTTTGTGGCTTGGGAATGAACCCTTACTGGAAGGAAGCAGCCCTTGTTGGAAGGAAGGCGCAACTTTTGACTGTTTTGCTTTCCTGCTATTAAAATTTAAAAAAAGGAAGGTGTCTCGGGTTTCTGCGTGATGCATGAAGGATCCGAGCTGTAGTAACTTGCTGCTGGACGGCGTTAATTGTAAATTGAAAAGCACGCCGCATCTGGGAGCCGGAATTTGTCATTTGGTCTCCGTGTCAGTTTCTCTGCCTGACATATATTGGAATGGAACCTATTTTGAAGAAATAATTGCAGCACCTGTTGTTGGTAGAAATGTACGTAAGGTGATGAGCAGTTTTCTGCTAAAGTTGTCTTCCGAGAAAGAGAAGGAGCGTTTACAGAAATAGATTTAATATTGGGAAGATCTGGGGGGGGGGGGGGTTGAAAGGGGTAGCAGGCCTCTGTGGAAAGAAAGTTGACTTCTTAGGAACCTTTTTGGTATAAACACTGAACAGCCTAGTTCTTCGTCACAGCGAGTCCTCAGTTTGCATCAGTTCATTTAGTGACCGTCTGAAGCTACAACGGTACTGAAAAAAGGGGCTTATGACCATTTTTCATACTTAACGACCGTTGCAGCATCCCCATGGCCCCGTGATTTATATTTGGATGCTGGACAACTGACTCACATTTACGACGGGGTCACGCGACCCCCTTTTGTGACCTTCTGACAGGCAAAGTCAATGGGGAAGCCAGATTCACTTAACAGCCGGCTTATTAATTTCGCAGTTAACAAATGTGACGGGAAAAGCCATAAAATGAGGCAAAAGCTCACTTAACGAATTTCTCACTTAGCAACGTAAAGTTTGGGCTCAATTGTGGACGTACGTCGAGGACTGCCTATATCTGCTTTTGAGTCAAACACACAAGGAAAGCTCTCTAGAAGATACACGAAAAGCAACTTTTCTGGGGAAGGCCAACTTGGTTGAACCCAGGGACCTTCCATGTAAGCCTGTTGTAGTCCTTGAAAAATCCCTCCTCCCAAGTGGATTCTAACTCGATCTTTACGTAATTGAGTAACATCACAGGTAGTCCTTGATTTACGACTACAGTTGGGACCAGAACATCTGTTGCTAAGCAAAGCAGTTCAATGAGTCCCACTGGATATGATGACCTTTTGGGGGATGTTGTGACGGTCATAAGTGCAAGGATCAGTCGTAAGCCACTTTTTTTTTCCAGCACCGTTGTAATTTTGAACAGTCGTTTAAATGAACGGTTGCAAGTCAAGAACAGCTTGGACCTGAGCCAAAGCAAATATTTATCCTATGCAGATTTTTTACAGGTTGTATTTAATTTTTTCCCCCCAGTTGTTCAGCGCCTTTTAATTTACATTTTTGATTGCATGTGGGGGAATTATTCAAGAGCACTTCAGACGGTTTGAATGTTTATTATAATCAAGCACATACCAAAGATGACGTTAGAAGTTCTTTTTATTGGACCGTTTTATATGCATTAAAATGGGACTGCGCCATTGTGACATATGCTTCCGTTTACTCTTAAAGGTTTATGGGGAAAATGAAAATCCTTATGGTTACCATTATTTAATAATCTATTGCATGTTGCTTCTGGTGCTTTTCAATGTATCTCAAGAACAGGAGATACTTAGTAACTTGGAATGTTATTGAAAATAAGCCTGTAAATCCTTTGGGGGAAAAAACATCACTTTGTATTGTGCTACACTTTGTAGCATTCCAGAAAGCACCAGTCTAAAATTCGACACAGAGGTAGTAGAGAGCGTCTAAAGGAAGAGGCAAAGCATTCGATAGATTTTTTTTTTTTAACATATGATTTGTGTTACTTGCACGCTGTTTTATGAAGAGAATGGATGCCACTTTTTACTGCCCTGGTAATTAAATAAGAGCTAGCCACACCTTGAACATAGTTTTACATATCCATCACATACTCAAATGAGCGAACTTTACCAATAAAGGAGAATATTTGCAGCTCAGGGTTCGAAGGAGGGGTCATTTTTATACACTAATAGTGAGTAGACAACCTACTGAGTTTATATACAAACATAAATAAGAGCAGTCGCCGTTCCATTCTTGCAGATATTTCATGACCCAACTAGGCAGCAGCATCAGTGCCAAAGGGGGGCGGGGAGGAGGAAGAGGAGATTGGAGTCCTTGGTGGTCTTTGATATTGGCGCTTTTCTTGCAGAGGTTTCATCAAATTAGGGATTATCTCCAGTTCCTGCTCTGAGCACTGATGATAATCTAGTTGGGTAATGAAAGATCTCCAAGAAAACAAGAAAAGACCAAGTCGAATTTGTCTAGATCAAGTCGAATTCAAAAACACCTGAAAATTCCTGGAAGTCTGTTATTCAGACAAATCCTCC